GTGAAGTGATGCTAGCATCATCTCTTCTTTTCAGAAGTGGGGAGATCAATACTTCATTAAAGTATTGYTAAAGGGAAAGTATTTTTTGTATTATGAGGGAGGGATATAGATCTTCAGGGAAGGATTGGGGGGGGAGAGATTTTCTAGCTGATTTAGTGTATTCTGTCGATTGCCAACTGGGAAATTTGAAAATCATAGGTATTTGTACATGGATGATGACTATTCATATAACTTGTCTGTTTTTTCTAAGGAAAGTCGTGGAGGATTGCCAGCAAGGACAAGGTTCCTTTGCTAAACTGAAGACAAGTGCTTTTAATCTTTATGAAGACCAGAGCGAAATGTGCAAGCAAAAGATAGGGATTGCGCCATTCTCTGACGACACCTTACAAAATGCAATTGACCAGAGATCTCAGGAATTTGGCTTCAACAGAATTTGTGAAGCCAACGACGAATTTGAAAGAGAAAGAGTATGCAGTAAATATTGTGGTGGTAAAAATAAAGAAGATTTGGGGCATGCACCAGAAGTTGTAAGTAACGTATTAGAGCAGAGTCACTTGAACCATGAAATAGAAACTAAATACTTAGTTACTAATAGGCACTATTTAGACACTATCACTGAACCAGAACAGTACAAAGAGATTACTTTGATTGTTAAAGTGGTCTCTTGGGTATTGCTTATTGGATCAAATAAACTGTTCTGGTTCAGTGCTAACGACTATTAGGAACTAATAGTCCCTATTAGTTAGTACTTTTTAGTTCTTATTTCATGGTTCATGTGACTCTGCTCTAAGCACACCAACCTACTGAAATAAAACAATCCGCAGCGACGCCATTTTGTTAAGCAAAACATGAGTACGAGGACTACAACTATCATCATGCTTTGCTGCACAAAATAGCGTCGCTGCACATACCGCAACAGCGTCAATCAATCGATGAAAAAATATACATGTAAAACGAACTCTTAATGTAACTATTCTATTACAGGTCGAGGCGTTAATGAAAGGCTGTACATGTGAAATAARAGATCATTTTAAAACCTTAGTATGTAGGCAACTGAAAAGAACAAATTCCGCCCACATACGCGACAATCAATCAATGAACAAAATATGCATGCAAACCGAACTCACAATGCACGTATTCTATTACAGATCGAGGAAYTTATGAAGGGCTGTAMATGTGAGATACAAGGACGTATTAAAGCTATGGCATGTAGGCAACTGAAGAAAAAATCCCCCCAGCAAGTTTTCGAGGAGTTGTTTGTAGAYCTARGCCTTGACGACCGATACWCKTTACAACAACTCGAACAGCTTGATTGCAGCAGCGAATCATAGGTAAGTACATACGTAATAAGTGACGTCAGGCTCAACTCTAACGTCAAGACTGGGATCGAGAATCATTGGTAGCACTCAATCAATGAAAAACAAGTATGTATTTTGAATAAAATACASGATAATAAGATTTCTTTCACTTTTTCAGAATGGCAGAAAACTGGTCAGGCGGCATATGAAACGGGCACCACAGAGAAGCATAGAGCATGGCTAGTTATCAGATATAATTATGTTTTAATAAGACAAAAAATAAAGAAGAATAAAAAATATTTGATTGATGACTTCGTTTATTTCTTTCTTTTTTTCTTCTTTTTTAATTTTATATCTAGTTTAAAAGTTTGAAGGATCCATCTTATTATCTTTAACAAATTTCCYAATTGACAGGTTGTTTCGGGTAGTTCTAATTAAACTTCTTGTTACTCATGCTTAGCCGAAACAGGGATTCCATTAACTATGGCCGAAACGACAATGTTTTTTTAAATCCAACGTTATGAATTTCCGCCCTCGTGAGCTCCGAAAATAATATCAAAACTAAAACATCTTGGCCATGATATTTTGTAAAAAGATCTTTTCGTTGGTACTATAACTAAGACTTGAGAAGATGATTCGAAGAGCTACATGTGCAATATCGATTAAATTGAACACAGGTACAAGTCACCTTGGACAAGTAGTATCTCGGTATCACCAAAGTGTCAGGTTGTTGTTTTACTTAATGAAAAAGGCTTTTGAAGATGTCAAAAGAGATAAATAGCCACCAGAGGATAGGCCGGTACCCTAAAACGAGATGGCCGCGTGCGASAACATTTCAAAATGCATTATAAATGATGCTTCATGACTTCTAAAGAATTCTGAGCTTAATACCGCGCTACAAAACAAGTTATTTTACTTTTTATTGAAACCATTGACTAATTATCGCATCTGGAGATAATCACATAATGTTAGAAATTAAAAAAATGCATTGATTCGTCAAGTCGTATGACAAAATAATTATATTATAAAAACGTGGTGATAAAAACGCTTGGCTGAARGAACAGACAACCGGATAAAACACGAAAATTGCCTTTTTCATAGTATAAGATTTGTAATATCTTCGCATTTTTGCTCAATTGACCGTTAAAACAACAACCTGACTAATAATATTTCAGCAATTTTTCATGTCTTGTGAAAGAATAGTTGTAATAATGACTYCTTTTCCTTCTAATTTCAAAACCAAAGCTTAAACATA